AAGGGCCTGTACTGCGCTGTAATGTTCTATGTTCTATGTTCTATGTTGATATGTCAGTTTAAATGTCTCTTAAACGTTGCTGTCGGATCAGCTTTGACCACCTCCCCTGGAGCGGGAGGGGATTAGTGGGGGTTTGTTGGGGTGGGGTGGGGGGGTGTGGGTTCAGATATCCAATGTGATGCTGGTGTTGATTCTGTGCCCACAGGACGAGCCTACCCACCTGAATTTTATTATGACACTCCGAACCCAGTGAGGATCCAGAAACCGAACCTTTACCTCTTCATTTTGCAGTGGACCCAGAAACTACCGTACGCTGTCGGAAATGTCCTGGAATATAAACTCCTCATCCAGCAAGAGGTGAGTACATTGGGAGGCAGTGCACTGGGACTCATAGAGTCATACAACACAGACCCTTCGGCGCAACTCACCCATGCCAACCCAGTTTCCTAAACTGATGCAGTCCCATTTGTCAGCATTTGGCCCATATCCCTCTAAACCCTTCCTATTCATGCACACATCCAGATGCCTTTTAAATGTTGTAATTATACCAGCCTCCACCACTTCCTCTGGCAGCTCATTCCATACACACACAGCCCTCTGCAAGAAAAGTTACCCCTCAGGTCTTTCCCCTCTCACCTTAAACCCATGCCCCTCTAGTTTTGGACTCTCCGACCCTGGGGAAAAGACCTTGGCTATTCACCCTATCCATGCCCCTCGTTATTTCATAAACCTCTATAAGGTCACCCCTCAGCCTCCGATATGCCAGGGAAAATAGCCCCAGTCTATCCACCTTCTCCTTATAACTCAAACCCTCCAGTCTCAGTAACATCCTGGTAAATCTTTATTGCATCCTTTCCAGTTTAATACCATCCTTCCTACAGCAGGGTGATGAGAATTGTACACAGCACTCCAATGGTGGCCTTACCAACGTCTTATACAGCTGTAACATGACGTCCCAGCTCCTGTACTTAATGCTCCGTCTGATAAAGGCAAGTGTGCCAAATGCCTTCTTCACCACCCTGTCTACCTGTGACGCCACTTTCAAGAAACTATGTACCTGCCCCTCTAGGTCTCTCTGGTCAACAACACTCCCCAGAGCCATACTATTAAGTCTGTAAGTCCTGCCCTGGTTTGCCTTCTCAAAATGCAACACAATGCATTTATCTAACTTGAAACCCATCTGCCATTCCTCAGCCCAGCTGATCAAGATCCCGTTATACTCATAGATAATCATCTTCACTGTCCATTTGCCATCAATTTTGGTGTCATCTGCAAACTTACTAACCACACCTCCTACATTCTCATCCTAATCATTTACATAAATGATGAACAACAGTTAACCCAGCACCAATCTTTGTGAATACTGCTGGTCACAAGCCTCCAGTGTGAACAACAACCCTCTATTACCATCCTCTGTCTGCTATTGCCAAACTAATTTTGTATCCAGTTGGCTGGCTCTCCCTGGATCCGAAGCGATCTGACCTCACTAACCAGTCTCCCATGCAGAACCTTGTTGAAGGCCTTGCTGAAGTCCATGTAGATAACATCTACCGCTCTGCCTTCATTATCTTCTTGGTCACCTCTTCAAAAAATACAATCAAATTAGTGAGACATGATTTCCCACACACAAAGCCATGCTGACTATCCCTAATGGCCTCGTGGTGTTATTGCACGACTGTTCATTCAGAGACCCAGATAACATTCTGGGGACCTGGGTTCAAATCCTGCCACAGCAGATGGTGGAATTTGAGTTCAATAAAAATATCTGGAATTAAGAATCTAACGATGACCGTGAATCCAGTGTTGATTGTTGGGAAAAACCCATCTGGGTCACTAATGTCCTTTAGGGAAGGAAACTGCCATCTTTACCTGGTCTCGGCTAAATGTGACTCCAGACCCACAGCAATGTGGTTGACTCTTAACTGCCCTCTGGGCAATTAGGGATGGGCAATGAGTGCTGCCTGGTCAGCGATGTCCTCCTCCCATTAACGAATAAGGAAAAAAAATCAGTCCTTGCCTTTCCAAATCCATGTAAATCCTGTCCCTCAGAATCCCCTCCAACGATTTACCCACCACAGACACCAGGCTCACCAGCCTATAGTTCCCAGGCTTCTCCTTACAGCCTTCCTTAAATAAAGCTACAACATTAGCCACCCTCCAGTCTTCCAGCACCTCACCCATGTCTGTAGTTGATACACATGT